AAAAGACTGACACAGAAATGCCAGAAGGACAGGACACGCAAGAAAAGACTGACACAGACATGCTGGAAGAACAGGAAATCCAAGAAAAGACTGACACAGAAATGCCAGACGGACAGGAAACCCTAGAAAAGAGCGAGGCCAGAGTAGTAGAAGGACAGGAAGCCCAAGAAGAGAGTGACACTAAACAACGAAAAGGACAGGAAGTCCAAGGAAAGGCAGACCCAGAAATACAAGAAGGACAGGAAGCCCAAGATAAAACGAGGGAGTCCACAGTACGAAAACGACAGGAAGCCCAAGTAAGAAAGAGTAAGACTGGAGTACCAAAAAGACAGGAAACTCAAGAAAAGAAGAGTGAGACTGGAGCACCAAAGGGACAGGAAGCCCAAGAAAATACTGACGCCGAAATATCAAAAGGACAGGAAGCCCAAGGAGAGAAGGAGAAATCTGAGAGCAAGAAAAAGAAGGACAAAGATAAGCAAGATGTAGAAGATCAAGATACAAAAGAAAAGGATGATAAAAGTGAGAAAAGAGATAGAAAAAAGGACAGAATTAAAGAGAAAAAAAAATCAGAAGCCAGAAGTAAAAAGCAGAAGGCTTAGGAAAGGGCAAAGGCAACTAAAGGAAGAAAGTACAACAAAAGGCAGAAGAGAAAGGGTAAATAAAAGGAAAGCCCATAAGACAACTGTCATTGAGTTACAGCTCCCAGATACAAGCCATTGCCAAATGTATTATAATAAAAAAAATTCTTCATATAACTGTAGCGTTTCTTTTCTTCAGAAGATTCACTATTTTTAGACCTCTCTGCCCTGAAACTCAGCTTCTGAATGTTTGTATTATAAGTTGATACACAGATTATTTAGTCAAGAAACAGGGTACTTTCTGAAATAAAACACTTTGTTTACTTTCCTTTGACAAGTTTTCGGTCTCTGTGAAAGGCCTACCCCACCAACCAAAAGCTTCTCATAGCAGGCTAGGCTTAATGGTTGCAAGACACCACTCTAACCATAAGTAGTACAGAGAGAAATAGAACTGAGTCCCTGACATCAAGTAGCTTGTAAGAAATTATGGAGTTTAAGGGGATAAACAATAAAACTTTTCATTTGAGAAAGGTCTGGAGTGATATATATATATATATAGGTGGAAATTTTTTAAAAGTGTTAAAAAGTAGTTTAGATGGAAAATATAATAAGGATTCAGAGACATTTGGGATAAAACAAAACAGAACAAATCATAAAGGAAATGGCTTCATGTGGAAGGTAGTAGTGGTGTATAATGTGTGCCAAAAGATGGAAAAGATGATGACACGCTAAGGGAAGTTTGGATAGAAAGAGTAGAAGAAAAACAGCAGTGTTAAAGGTGGCCCACTATTCTCCTGGGGCAGTAGAATTTTGCTGTTGCAGTTGACTCCTGTGACGCACTCTGGGGTGCAATTCTGGAAAGGAGAATGAGAAGGGATCTGAAACAAACAAGGAAATTATATCTTACTCTTCAGCCAGCCAGAAGCATTTTAGAGCTTTTCAGAAGAGTGACAGGAATAAGTCTGCATTACCAAAAAAATGTCCATCCTGTGACTGTGCAAAATAGATTGGTCTATTTCTGATCCTAGAAAACCAACAAGAAGCTAGGAACTAGTTTGTGAGACAAGGAGGAATGAGAAATTGTTGTGTTTAAGGGGATAAACATAACACTTTTCATTCAAAAAAGGTCTGGAGTTGGTAGCAGTATCTATGAAAACTCAGGGGTAATTAGGTCTCCAGAGGAGAAACTACAGGGCTCGCAAAGGCAGAAGTCCAAGAACTGAGTGTGCTATATACTATAGGTTGAGAGGGAAGTTCACTAAGAGATGAGACAATATGAAGAAAACCTGTACAGTAGTGTTCTGTTAATTAAGATGTGACATTCAAGAATAGATGTTTAAAAAATATCCAAGACTTCAAGGAAAAAAGAACTGAAAGAGACCATTAATAATAGAAAATTTTGTAAATAGCACTTTCCAAGAAAGGTAGATAGAAGAAAGTTAAGCTGGAAACAGGCAGAAACACAAGTAGCTGTGTGATGCACCTTCCAAAGAAGTACATTAGTTTTAGTCTGCATTCAAAATGTAGTTTTAGGAACTTTATTTGTATACTACTCTATTCTGCGCTGGTTAGCCATACCTTGATTGTTATTTAGTTCTGTCAGGGGAATATGGATAAACCAAAGTGCCCTTCAGAAGAGAAATACTCAAGTGAGCAGGAAGTTGCGCAGTTCACCGGGTAGAAAAATACATTCAGGGAAAAAATGAGAATTATTTTCAAGTATATAGATTCATCATAGTTTAGAATATTTTGTATGACCCCAAGGAAATAAGACTAATGAAATGAAAAGTACACAGTTGAGATTTTATCTCAAGTTAAGGGGGAAGTGGGACTTCCAAAGCAGTTTAAACAAGGGTTCAAGGCTCTATGATCAATTCAGTGGAATGTGACAGAGGCAATCCTTGGGAAACAGCAGAGTGGTTGGAATAAGTTATGGTTCCTTCCAAATCTGAGTGTCTGTAATTCAAAATATAAAGTTATTTATGCTTTGGACCAACCGAATATATTGCAAGGAAACTTTTCATACTGATATAATTCTTTGGAAAAGTTAAACTAAAAAAAAAAAAAGAAAGAAAGAAAGAAAGAAAAAATGAAAGCAGACTTTAGTCCGTGCCCAGAGTATGTTCCTTAAATATCTCATGCTGCCCAAGCAAACCTTAAGAGAGCACATCCACAGCTGCTAACACAATCTGAACCACTGCGTGGATATGTATTTTGTGATCAAAGCCCTGCAACAGGTTGTAGAAGCCTATGTTAATTTTCACAGGCCTGAGATGAATTGAGTTTAAGGGGATTATCTTGTCAACAAGACAATTCTGAACTGTCAAAGAAAAGAAGGGAGGAGGGAGGACAGATACTGAACATATTTTTTTGGCGGGGAGAGGTTTTGGTTATAGGGCGTGTGCGCTCGCCAGACAAAGAGAGACAGAGAGATAGAAAGCCAGAAATCACCCCGCAGGGGGGATGGCCACGCCGCAATCCCTTCTCCTCCATTCTCCTCTTGGGATCATGAGCACGCACGCACACACGCCCGGCGTGAGTTTTAAGCACGGGTACAGGGCCCAAACCGGGGTGAACTACATGGGAGTCCTGCGGCAGAGCCATTACACTAACTGCTGGTCCCCTGAACATATTCTTTTTAGACTTCCCTTTCATGTCTCTGGTATATGCATGTTTAGAGATTTAAGCAGTCTTAGTTGAATTATCTCCAGAAAATATGTTTTTATAATCTTTATTTTATTTTATTTTTTTCTGGAGAGGTTTTTGCTATACGGCACGTGTGCTGGATGGAGAGACAAAGAGACAGAAAGCGAGAAATCACCCCCAAGGGGGATGGCCATGCTGCAATCTCTTCTCCATTCTACTCTCGGGATCTTGGGCATGCATGCACACATGCGGATCATGAGCACGCACGCACACACGCCCGGCGTGAGTTTAAGCCACTGGGTCCGGGACTCAAACTGCGGTCAACTATATAAGAGTTCAGAGACACAGCCATTATGCTCACTGTTGGTCTCAGGTTTTTATGATCCTTATGTCATTTTATTTTCCCTATATATCTCTCTGTTGCATCTGGCAGCTAACTATTGGTAGGTTTTAGAAAACTGTGACAAACACAACTTCTCTTGGATTTCTGCTAGGATGCAGAAACACCATCAACGGTGAACTTTCAAAATGATGGCACATTTAGCAAAATGACGCAAATTTTAGGAAAATTCTTAAATAGTTCGGATACAAAAGTAGGACTTTGAGACTTACCAGATATCAAAAATGATACATTTTGTTTTACAAATAAGCTAATACAAATGTCAAATACTCTGTCAATAAGAATGAATGGAAGCCATACAATTAGACGATTTACATTTAGGAGTAGAGCACAGGAAGAAAAGTGAGTTTAGAGATAAAGCTGAATGAGAAAAATAAGAATATTGGGAAATAAATAATATGTAAAATCAATTAGTGAGGCTCCTACCCCAATTTCCTAAGTTAGTAGTTCATTAAAAATGCAATTTCAGGGGCCAACAGGTGATGTGGTGGGTAAGGCACTGAATTCCCACATTGCCAACTGCAATTAAAGTCCCCGATCTGGCAACTTGAAAATCATGCTGAGCCCATGTCCATGTATGCCCAAAACCCCAGGAGGAGAAAGGTATGTGGCACAGCCATCCCCCTTGAGGGATGATTTCTCACTTTCCCTCTCTCTGTCTCTCTGATGAGTGAATACACCCTATAGAAATACCTTTAAAAAATGCAATTTCCACAAAAAAATGAAAAACAAATCATATTCAGTTTTTACTTAAAATTTTGACATATTGTATATGTAACTGTATAACTGTGTATCTATATGATAAAACCCAGTATTAGCATTTTTATGCCCTCTGTAAAATAAAGCTATGGGGAGGGGGGGAGTAATTTCCTGTACCAACCTGTGGTATGGTGGTTAAGGAGGCTGGATCCCACACAGCTAATGGAACAAGTTTCAGCCCCAGTGGCTGGGTAAACATGCTGGACATCTGTACATGCATGCCTCCAGGTCTGACACTCAAACTGCATGGTCAGCCATGTGGGTTGCAACCTCCTTAGCCACCACACCACAGGTTAGCCCTTGCAATGACCTACTTTATACTCAATGAGGATTTTCTTTTTCTTTTCTATTTTTTTTTTAAAGAGGTTTTGGCCATAGGGCACATGCACTCACCAGAGAAAGAGAGAAAAACACAGACAGTGAGAGGATGAGAAATCACCCTCTCATGGGTGGGATGATCATATCAAAGTCCCTTCACCATTCTCCTCCTGGGATTTCAGGCATGCACATGCACATGCCTGGCGTGAGTTTCAAGCCTCTCAGTCCAGGACTCAAACTGCAGTCAACCAAGTGGGAGTATAGCGATGTAACTGCTACACCATCAGCTGGCCCTGAGGATTTTATTTTTCTAGGATAGATTTCCAAAAGTTGAATTGCCAGATCAAATATTTTACTTTGGGTGTTAACAAAGATTACGTAATTACTTTCTTCAAAATTTGCAATAATTCATGGGCAAACACACATATACACTTGGCATGATTTTCAAATCGCTGGATCTGGGACTGGAACCGCAGTCAACCATGTGGGAGTCTGGCTCCTTAACCACATCTGACAGTCCCAACAATAACCACGTTTTATTTTTGTCTATCTAGTGAGAAAAATGGCATCTAAAAATGGAATCTAACTATTCCTTTACCTGCATTTCTGTTTTTATGATCTGCTACTATCTTGCTGAAAATTTTAGCATCTATATTCATCAGAGATATTGGTCTGCAGTTTTCCTTTTTTGTCATGTCCTTATCTGTGTTGGGGATGAAGGTGATGGAGGCTTCACAAAATGAATTTGGGAGGATCCCTTTGTTTTTTACCTTTAGAAATATTTTGAGTAGAATGGGGGTTAGCTTCTTAAAAAGTTTTGTAGAATTCACAAGTGAAGCCATTAGGTCCCAGGGTTTTCTTTGTTGAGAAGTTAATTATTACTGATTCAATCTCATTGCTAGTTTATGGGTCTATTCAGGCTTTCTATGTCTTCTGGATCCAATTTTGGTAGACTACATGTGTCCAGGAATTTGTCCATTTCCTCCAGGTTTTCGTGTTTGTTGGAATATAATAGCTCACAATGTTCTCTAATGATGTCTTGGTAGACTACATGTGTTCAGGAATTTGTCCATTTCCTCCAGGTTTTCTTGTTTGTTGGCATATAATAGCTCACAATGTTCTCTAATGATGTTTTGCATTTCTTTTATGTCTGTTGTAATATTGCCTTTTTCATTGCAAAATTGGCTTATTTGGTTCCTTTTTCTCTTTTTCTTAATTAGTCTAGCTAATGGTGTGTCAATTTTGTTTCCTTTCAATGAATCAGCTTTTGGTTTCATTTATTTTCTGTATAGGTCTTTCATTTTCTATTTCATTTATTTCTGCCTGAGTCTTTATTCTTTCTTTTCTCCTGGTATTTTTTGGGGGATTTTGTTGTTGTTGTTGTTTTTCCAATTTCCTGAGGCATGATGTTAGGTTGTCTACTTTCCATCTTTTACTCATGTGCACTAATTGCTGGGACCACCAGTTAGCGTAATGGCTATGTTGCTGAACTCTCATGTAGCCAAACTCGGGAGTCCCAAATCCAGTGGTTTAAACCTCACGCTGGGCCTGTGAGCATGTGTGCCCAAGATCCCGAGAGGAGTATAGAGAAGAAGGGCATGACCGTCCCCCCTTGGGGGTGATTTCTCACTTTGTATCTCTCTGTCTCTCTGTCTTTCTGGTGAGCGCACATGCCCTATAGCAAAAGCCTCTCGAAGAAAAAATAAATGGCTATGAACTTCCCTGTTATGACTGCTTTTGCTGTGTCCCAAAGACTATGGAAAGTCACGTACTCATTGCCATTGGTTTCAATGAATCTTCTGATTTCAGTCTTAATTTCTTTAGTAGGTTGTTTACCTTCTATATGTTTACGTATTTTCAAGGACTTTTTCTGAAATATCAAGTTGAATCCCACCTTGGTTGGACAAGATGCTGGATATACTTTCTATGCCTTTGAATCTGTAAAAGCTTGTTTTGTGCTCTATCATGTGGTCATTCTTCAAAAAGATTCCATGCAGGGGGTAAGAAAAATGTGTATTTCATGGGTTTTGGGTGGAAGATTCTATAAATGTCTGTCAGGTCCATTTGATTTATAGTATCACTTAAATTCTGTATCTCTTACCTTATTTTTTATCTAGATGATCTGTCCAAAGGAGATAGTGGAGTCTTGAAATTCCCAACAATTAATACGTTGCCGTCTATCTCTCCTTTTTGATCTAGTAGTCTTTCCTTCACATATTTGGTTGCTCCTGATTTGGGTGCATAGATATTTACAAGTGTTAGATTTCTTGGTGAATCAGTCCTTTTAGTACTATATGATATGCTTCTTTTGTTTCTTCACAATTTTTAAATTATGCATTAAATTATCCATCTTTTTTTACTCTGCTGTGATACATTACCTTATAGCTTCTTCCCATTATCTATTAGCATTTTGTGTCCATAATATAGTCTCTCAGAAAACATACCAACCCTCCCCCAAGCAATTCCTGGCATTTACTATTACTGTTTTTGAATTGTCTCTCCATTGTTTTCCTCTTAGCATAGTTTTATGCTTTGGGGCTTTATGTTTAACTATTTTATCAAATTTTGTACACAATGAAAAATGAGAATCTAGGTTCATTTTTCTGCAGATGAATATCCAGTTTTTTCAGCACCATTTTTTGTTGAAAAATGGAACATTTAACAGACACAAGAATGGAAAGATATTGCATATAGTAATATCTTTGACATGCCACAACACAATCCCTTTTCCTCCAGTTTTCTCTCAGGATTTTGATTACATAAACACATGTCTCCAGCATGATTTTTAAGCCACTGGGTCTGGGACTCACACTGTGGTGAGCCATGTGGGAGTCCAGTATCTTAACAACCATGCCACCTTCCAGCCCCAGTGTATAATCTTTTTAGCGTATTGTTGGATTCAGTTTGCTAGTATTTTGTTAAAGATTTTTGTACATACTTTCATCAAGGTTATCTTTTTTTCTATTGTCATGTATTTGTCCACTTTGTGGATAAGGGTGATGGTGACTTCATAAAATGAGTTTGGGAAGTTCCCCTTCATTTGAATCTTTTGGAGTAGTTTGAAGAGTATTGGTGTTAATTCATCTTTAAAAGACTGGTAGGTTATCAGTAGTGAAAAAATAAGATCTGAACTTAATTTGTTGAGAGAGTTTTTTTTTTCTGTTTTTAATTATTATTTATACATTTCATTGCCATACATCATTTAGATTGTAAAGACATTTTACCCATACTTACCTGTCAGGGGAGATATTGTGATCACAAAGGTGGTTTTCCAAGGGCAAGGCTTATCTATTGCATTCCAGATGTGCTGACTCCTGCGATTTCCCCAAATGTGGGAAACTCGATGGCATAATTTGTAGTAGTGGGGGACTGTGTTCATGCTCTCCCCTGGGGAAAAAAAAAAAAGAAAAAAGAATGAGAGACTTTACCCAGCATGATATACACCTCAGTCTAGCCCAATTGAGAATATTTATTACTGATTCAATTTCATGATTTCTTTTGAACTACTTTGGTTTTCTGTATTTTCCTGATTCAGTCTAGATCTGCTCTATATGACCAGAAATTTGTTCATTTCTTCTAGGTTCTCCAACTCATTATTAGCATATAGTTGCTCATAGTAATACCTAATGATCTTTTGGATGATTGTGATATTCATTGTAATGTCCCCTTTTTCACTTCTGATTTCATTTATCTGGGTCTCCTCTTTTTTTTTGGTTTATCTTACTAATGCTTTATCAATGTTTTTATCTGATAAAAAAATAGCTTGGCATTTTGTTGATTTCTTGAATTACTTTTTTGTTCTCTATTTTATTTATTTCTGCTCTGATCTTTTATTATTTCTTTTATTACTTTTGGGTCTAGCTTGTTCTTCCTTTTTTATGGTGAAAAAAATACTTAGAATTAGGTAGCTGGACTCAGTTTAGATTATCCCAATTTTGTTGTCAACATCCAAAGCATTATAATCAACATAATCAGTCACACATATGCCTTCTTCTCTCTGTCGGAACTAATTAGGGTGTTGACCTTGGTCACATCAATATCATAGAACTTCACAGCCTATTAGATCCGGTGCTTGTGGGCCTTGACATCTACAATGAACACAAGCATGTTGTTGTCTTCTGTCTTCTTCATGGAAGATTTCGTGGTTAGGGGAAACTTGGTGATGGCATAGTGGTCAAGGTTGTTTCTCCTGGGGGTGCTCTTCTAAGGATATTTGGGCTGCCTCTGGAGCCACAGAGTCTTGGGCCTCTGGAAGGTGGGTGATGTGTAGACTTTCTTTTTTTTGTGATTTTGGAACCTTTCAGCACTGCTAACTTGGCCTCAAAGCCTTTGCTTTGGCTTCAGCTTTGGGAAGGGGAGGAGCTTCCTTCTTCACTTTCAATGCTATTGTGGCAAAAGGGAGTTTAGTTTGTTCTTACTTTTCCAGCGACTTGAGAGATTTTATTAGGCTGTTTATTTATGATCACTTTTTTTTTTTGAACACCTATTGCCATAAACTCATCTCTCAGTACTGTCTTTGCAGTATCCCAGAGGTTTTTCATTGAAGATATTCATTACCATTTGTTTCAAGTAAAGGTTAATTTCTGTCTTATTTTTTTCAGTAGGTCTGTCTGAATCATTTAGGAACATATTATTAAATTTCCACATATTTATGTATATTCAAGAATTTTTGGTTGTTATCAGAACTTTGACACCAATGACAGCAATAACAAAGACTATTCCAGGACATGCTCCAGTACAATATCCAGAATTTAAGATCCTAGACCTGCTAGTCCTCTATTTAGACAGGAAACCACTC